CACATTCAGACACAGCCAGATAACGCCTGTTTGTGCTGATGGCCAAGGCCTGCATGTCCTGACTTCTCTCTGTACCTGTGCAAACACAGGAAACAGATACGTGGGTTCTTCTCACAGAGACATGTCCAAACTACATTTAATCCCAAAATCAAAATAAACATTTTGCATAAAAATACATTAGGAACATTCCTGTATTAGTGGAGAACAAATACTATAACACTATGTATTCAACTAATAATATAACCTTTTAAAAACATATTTCACTTTATAAATTTTTTTCAATATAGTAAAATATTACTTCTTTATTTCAATGTTGGGAGAACATTAAAATATTTACTGGACTGAAGCAACTTAGGTTTACATGATTATACAAACATCCCCCCCCCAAATATCATGTTAAAATATAAGTATCAAATATATAACTTGAAAACAGAGATATGATCATAAAAATTAAATACACACACACACACACACACACACACAGTTTAGGATCAGTAAGCGTTTTAATGTTGAATATTGTGAAATATTATTGCAATTTAAGAAAACAGTTTTCTATTTTTAAACAAGTTGAATTTATTTTCTATTTTAATATTAAGCTGAATTTTCAGCATCATTACTCCAGTCTTCAGTGTAACATGATCCTTCAGAAATCATTCTAATATGCTGATTTATTATCAATGTTGTAAACAGTTGTGCTGCTCAATATTATTATTATTTTTTATTTTTTGGAACCTGTGATGATTTTCCCCCCTCAGAATTCTTTGATGAATAAAAAGTTAAAAAGAACAGTATTTTTTAAAATTGAAATATTTTAGAAATAGAAATATTACTATCTTTTCCTCTATAATATGTCTTCACTATCATTTTTTAAATCTATTTAACACATCAATCCTGAATAAAAGTATTCATTTCTCAAAAAAGAAAAAGAAAAAACATTTACTGACCTCAAACCTTTGATAGATATATTGTTAGATAGATAGACAAAGCCTATTGCCTAACATATGAAGCGAATAAAGATTATGATAAAGTTTTGTCGTACCTGGAATGAACTTCTGGCATTTCTGATTGATGTTATAGCGCACACAGTTGTTTCCACACGGAAATATGACGGTTTGCTCATCAAAATACAATAAATTATTCCTCACTCCTGTCCGCAATCCGAATATATAATGAGACTGTGCCACTACAGTAGCCATCTGACAAAATTATTAGCCAACACTTTGTAGAAAAGAAAGATATAAGCGGGTTGGTTTGTTTGCTCTGCATCTAACACTGCAGTGTTGATTAGTTAGTTACTACGGTAACAACAAGCTACCGCGTCTGCGTCCTCCAAGACGACAAACCACGCCCATTTCACCGCCCACATCAAACACCAACCCTACCACCTGACAGAAAAAGTCCCCAAAACCAAAAACTGGCTTGTCTGTAAACTTCGACGATAAATTTGCCCGTATATTCGACTATTTACAAATTACGAATGATTATTATAGCCGTAAAAATGAAGTATTTACGGCTGCCATAAATAAGCTTGTTTAGCCATCCATTTTAACATCAACAAACATCTGCAAGTATGACTTCACACCAATAATAAATGAAAACAGGTGATAAATAATGATATTCAAGCTTATTATGTATTTGATAAACCCAAGCCTAATCAGTATTATAATAAAAAAATACTATACAAATTATATAAAACATAGAAAGAGAAAATAAAACAGAGAATTTGGTAAACCAAAGATAGATATAGGGCTAGAGTGAGTGAGTGAGTGAGTGAATAAATAAATAAATAAATAAATAAAAACAGTGCCCATACAAAGTAGGACACAGACATCATCCTAAAACCCATAATACAGAGCTTTGCGAAGTTATAATCCGGTGAAATTGAACAAAATTTAATTTTGAATTTTTACAGTTCAGTGGTCTTTCAGTTTTCAGTGATGGACGAAGTAAGTGATGCTCTGCTGCCCTCCTGTGTTTGGATCCTAACATTCAGCCTGGATATTTTTATGAAATTTGCTCGGAAAGTACCGTAATAAACTGCCGTGATTTCCACTGGTGTGATGCAAATAAGAAAGAAAACCTTTTGATTTTTCGCCTTTTCTCTGTTTAACTAATGCTAAAGTGATCAAATAGCCTGCGTTTATGAACACTCTCATAGAAATTAGAAATGTTTGCATTTGGATGTATTAGAATAGATAATTATATTCAGCTGCTTTTTAAACGCCAGATATAAACATTTAAATGGAGTTTTAAAGACAGCGCAAGTCTTCATATGTCTAAGGTAGGACTTTTATAATTTGTGTTGTTTCCATACTCAATGCATCCAAACTGTGCATCCCAGGCCGTTTATCAATGACTGTTCTGGACTACGTGCTTGTGATTTGCGCTATTTTACAGCTCACTGGTTTTTTTGAACAACAACAGACCGTGTAACATTCCAGTGGCGTCATAATGGACAGGTTGAGCTGCAGTTACAATGTGTTCATTTATTTGTACGAACGTTCTATAACGTCATAAACTGGAACACAGCTGTAGTCTGTAGTTCTTGTGTGCGACTGGGACGAACAAGGTTTAAATCTTTATAGAAGCACATCAAATAATCATTAATATGTTAAAAAGAACATCACAAAAACATATTTTGAAATATGTCTGGTCTTCTCTCTTCCTTGTTGCGCATGACGCTTTCCCTCTACATGCTCCTGTTTGGGAAGTTCATTGAACAGCAATTAAAGAACACGGTAAGTTCAATTCTTTTCTCAATTCTGAAGGGGAAAAAAAGTCAGAATTGCGAGTTTGTATCTTTTTTTTTTTTTTTTTACAGTCTATGGTTTGTATCACGCAATTATGAGAAAAAAAAGTCAGAATTGTGAGATAAAAAGTCTTTTTATTTTTTATTCAGTGGCGGAAACGGGCTTCCATACATTTGTCCGGCGCCCCGCACACACAAAACAAACGAAATACAGTTTTGATTTTTAATAGGTGCTAACATGACTACCAGTCCGCGTTACTTGTAATGAGTTACCCCCAACACTGCTTATTTTTAACATGTTGAAGTGTGCTTCTTCCCTGGCTAACTTGATGGGGGCGGTGCCCCGCAGTGATGTCATCATGGATACATTGAGTTGTTGCAGTTACATGTATGTTCATTAAATTCATATCTGAACATTCAACTGCTTGTATGGCAGTAGTATTGTAGTCTATGGAGTTTGTGTGCAACTAACTGTACAAGGTATTTGCTGGTATATGTAAAACCCATCTATAAAAATACCAAAATACACCAAAAATTATTAACTTCTGTTGAAATATCACATTATTTCAAAATTAAATCACTCTAATACTGGTCATCTCTATTCCATGTTGTTCATGAGTACATCTACATGCACTGTTTGAGTCGCCACAGTGGTAAATGTGAGTCATGTGTCAACAGTAAATTAACACGGTAATGTTTTTTATTACAATAAAATAATCATGTGTTTCATTTTACTACATCGGAAAATCACTGTATCTCTGCAACTGAACAAGAGCACCATCCTACCTCAGTACACTTCCACAGCTCATTCTACCACATCATCTACAGTCAGTGAACGAGTGCTGCCTGGTGGTTTCATCGCAAGTATAGAGTCATCTTCCACAACCTTCATTCACTTCCTACAATTTACTACCCTTAAGAAACAGCTGAAGACACATCTACAAACACTTCATGTAAAACACAACTACAATTAAAAGCTCTTTTTACAAAGAAATTCTATTTAGGGGTCCAAGCACCGAAGGTACTGCACTGTTTGGCAGGCACACAGACAACAGAACAATTTAAATATGCTTCAGAATCTGCCCATAGGGGGCATTACAACTAAATCCTGTCATAACTCTGCAACAGTTTGATCAAAGGAAAATTAAATCAATTAATGAATTGTACAGTCATTTGTACAAAACAACAAAAACGGCTGGCAGCAACCAATAAAATGTCAGTGGTTAATAATTGCAAGTCTGAATGGCCTACCAAGACAAAAAAAATGACGTACAGTACATTGTGTGAAAATGTACAGTAGCTACATGTGTATTAAATTCTGTGAAAATGGGCCACAGGGTGACTAATATGCTTATATCTCATGTGCAAGTCAAAAACTTCATTTCAGTCATTTTTAGGAAACATGCTTAGTTTCATGATTTTGTGATGGTCAGGGCTAATAGCAAATTCTGATGAATCAGCAGGTTCAATTGGCTGTAATACTACAGTATAATGTTCCACAGGATAAGAATCAGTTTCCATCATTAAGAATGGCTGAATAGCTTAACATGTAACATGAACATGCATAGAACCAATTCATTTGTAGAACCATGGTGCGCTGACAATATAGTTTTATATCATTATTAGGGCTGTGCATATTCAGGAAGTAGGCTAACTGTCAAGTCGGCTTTATTTTATGGGGATTTATAAGTGCTTACACCTCCACACATTTTATACATTATAATGTCATGCTGTAAAAATCAATCAGACAGCTGTATTAATAAAATCATAGCCATAGGTAACTGTCTAGAGCTACAATTGTAATTTATAAATAATACAATTTATTTATTTACTTTTATATTTTATTAAAGTTCTATTTTGACCCCTTATAGTAGGTTTTTTTTTTTTCTTTTTTGAGGGAGGGGGCACAACAATACTATTCTGCTTAGGGCACCCATTTGGCCAGCAGCGGCCCTGCTGTAAATTAAATTATTAAAAGAGCATTCGGTTATTTGTTCATATGGTGGTTTTGCTGTAGGCTGCAGATTCCCTGGCCTATTTTACCTGAACACAGACGTGTTAACACTGAGGGGGACAGGGTATTAGTGTGTTTATAACTCTTGGGTTTAAACGTTTTTATTTTGTTATATGTTTTCTTTAAATAAAATGATAGATTATGCGCTGCCATAAACCCGAAGAACGAGGCGCCAAGGTTTCCGGTAGCGGAACCATTCTTTTGCCGTCCTCTGTTTCCGTCAGGGCTTTAATGTTACTCACACTAGTGAGAAACAGTTTTGTCCACACGTGAAGCATGGGGATGTTGTGAATTCTTCTGTTACTGTATTTATTTGTCCAATTCCCGTTCTGTATTCTTTTACAATGGTAGAAATAGATGAGGATCCCCAGATGGGGTTTGAGTCCGAGGAAGACGACGACGACTTATCAGACGGCGAGGTGAGAATATAGTGCATTTCATGTGTTTTGTTCAAGCAGTAGGCCTATCGTTTTATATTACAGCAACTTGTGCTACATAAGTCAACAAGTAGGTAAGAGATCCAAAACAGCTCTATATCGCCCAATAATATGGCATAGTAAGATTATATGTAATGTTTTTATTTTGGAAGGCAAAGCGTATAATGCAGTCGGTACAATGATGATTGAGTGATGGACAAATAAACATTCCTCAAAAGCCTGACATATTTAATACTTACATTTTAATGCGTTTTTTTCTAAGAAATTATGTATGGGTAATCAAGTAAACCTAAAATGCGTTAGTCAATCAATATTTCGAACCAGATAAAAGTTATTTTTACGTTTACTTTATAAAAATCATTTTTAAAAGTATGAATAAATTAGATGACAATGCATGTAGAAGATTGTGTATAACCGATTTGATAATGTTGCTAATTTAGAGGCCTTAGAAATTCATATCAAATATGATACTGTATGGTTTATAGAGTTAGTAATTTATCAATTGAAATGATTTGTTGAGAAGTCCAATAAAATATCTGTAATGATTTTCTTCTACATCATTCAGGAGGGTCTTAAGAAATGTCTGGCTGAGTTTAAGAGGAACCTGCCGTGGGCTGAAAGGCTGGACCTCACTAACTACCCAGCTGTTGACATTGTTGCAAAAGCGGAGGGCAGAGCGCAGCAACCTGAAGGTAGTGAAGACGTCAGTGCAGAGGATGACTTTCAGAGGGAGATGTACTTGTAAGTGTGTAAAACAAGGATGCTGCTTGACTTATAATGTTTACTTAACAATATTTTATAATAACTCCTTTATGATTCACATCTTTGACAGTAGTTTCTTAATTTTTGACAAGAGGTATGCAAAATAAACAGAGACCATGCCTTTAAGAAGAAACACAGATATCTTATGCATCCACTGAGGGGGAAAAAAAAACCTTTTCCAAAAGTGTGCTTATTTGAAGAAAAAAGTATGGCTTCTCATACGTTTACTTAAAATTTCTTTAGAGAGAATTATTATTTTTTTACACAGAATAGGGTGCTGCGAGCATTAGGGTGCGCTATAAACACATGTGATTTATGTTTAATTTAATATTGGAAGTTGAAGGGCATCCTTGCTCAAAAAGTCTAAATATGATAAATACATAAGTAATATGTGACCCTGGACCACAAAACCAGTCATAAGGGTCAATTTTTTGAAATTGAGATGTATACATTAGCTTAACATTGATGTATGGTTTGTTAGGATAGGACAATATTTGGCTGAAATACAACTATTTGAAAACCTGGAATCTGAGGGTTCAAAAAATTCTAAATATTGAGAAAATCGCCTTTAAATGTGTCCAAATGAAGTTCTTAGCAATGCATATTATTAATCAAAAAGTAAGTTTTGATATCGTTACAGTAGGAAATGTACTAAATGTTTTCATGGAACATAATCTTTACTTAATATCCTAATGATTTTTGGCATAAAAGAAAAATCTATAATTTTGACCCATACAATGTATTGTTGGCTATTGCTACAGATATACCCCAGCGACTTAAGACTGCTTTTGTGCTCCAGGGTCACATATAACTTATGAGTAAGTTCCTAATATAGACAAAGGCAGGGTTGTCCAAACCAGTTCCTGGAGTATTTCGTCTCGGGTGTTTTCTTAAGAATAAATGATATTTATAATGCAATGCTAATCAACATAGCCTTTATTATTACAGTACAGAATACTATAAAATAATATATTTTCTGCCTCATTCTGTGATATAATTCCACGTAAGATCACAATAGGAAGTTATTTCAAATGCTCGACTGATGTTGTGAAGTGAGTTTGGAGTAAAATCATGTTATTAAATGTGCTCTTTTGTTGGACAGCAGGTTTAGAAACGCTTCTCATTACAGGTTTGGGAAGATGTTTGGCACAAGTTGGTTTTTAATACATGTTATAAATGAGAGATGGAGCAGCATTTCCTGTGAACTGATCCAACCGCTCTGATCATAAAACATGCCGTGCATATATTTAATCTATTAAAAAACAAAACCTTTATGATTTCATAATTATACGAAGCCATATTGTGATTTTGGTTTTTATTTTGATTAATCGTGCAGCCCTACCTTATTTATGAATGTTACCTCCCTATTTGGAAATCACATGCCTTTATGATGCTTTTAAAAGGGTCATATGATGCTATTTTAAAGATCATTATGACGACCAGGCTTTATAGAAAGCACTTTGTCCAGTACACCGTGGAAGTAGGAGAGCCAGTAACCTCAGGACATGAGAATATATGCTACCGTTCAAAAGTTTGCAGTCAGTAATATGGATTTTATTTTATTTTTTGAAAGAAATGAATTCATTTTTGTTTTGTTTCCTCATTAAATCGATCAAAGTTGACAGTAAGGAAGATTACAAAATATTTTTATTTCAGATAAATGCTGTTCTTTCTATTCCTCAAAGAATACTGAGAAAATTGATAGTTTTCACAAAAATATTAAGCAGTTTTCAACATTGATAATAATCAGAAATGTTTCCTGAGCAGCAAATCAGCATATTAGAATGATTTCTGAAGGATCATGTGACACTGAAGACTGGAGTAATGATGTTGAAAATTCAGCTTTGATCACAGGAA